AACTAACCATCCAGATTCATCAGATCGAGTTACATCTCCTTCGGTTTTATCAGTATCAAGTGCTGCCTCAAGCAAAAGACTAGAATGGGACTCTGGAGCTGATGTTGGCTATGCCGGCAATGCACCTGAACAGATGTCAGCATCCTTGAGTACTCTAGAGAGGATTGCTATTGGAAACTATGCATCTGTGTTAAGAACAGAACCTGAAGGGACAACCCAGGTGAAAGAAAAACTGAAGAATTCTAAGAAGAGTTACAAAGCATGTGGAGCAAAAGGTGGTGGAAGTCTTGCAAGTGTTAAGCGTAACATTCCTGAGGTTATGGGTTCACTACCTTCTCGATCACTCAGAGTTCCACAGATTCGTGAAAGAAAGATTGTATCCTCAAGTGATGAGGAATTTGACAGCAGACGGACAAGTCCCTCTCAGAGTCCAAGACGGAAACCAAGAAGACGCTCTTCTCTTACTGTTGCTAAAGATAATGATATTCAGGCAAAGAAAAATAGTGGGGGACAGTTAATGCATGGAAGAATTAGGGAAATTATGGGAGAGATCAGTAATGAAGGTAAATCCAGCAGTCTTGTTGAGCTGAACCAAACAAACAAAAACACTGTGGAATGTAGAAGAAGTAATAGCCAACAGTCACTCTTTGTCACTAATACTGGAAAAGAAGATGATGCAAATATTGTCTCCAGGATGAACAATACCTATGTGCAATCAGTTCCAGCAGCCTCAGGAATATCACAAAGCACTGTAGCCAACATTTGTGCAAATACTTCCACAAGTACAAGCACACTGGTCCAGAGTATGTCACCTTTACCGGTACAAGGGATTTATGCTAGCACTAGTAGTACCTTAGTAGAAGGGGCATCTCAGGCATGTTCAAGGTCAGAATTAGTGAAAAATAAATCATCTGATGAAGAAGTCTATTCATCTCAGTCATCACTACACCAGTTTAAGGACAAAGCTGGTATCATAAATCTCCAGAGAAGAACTTGTGTTTCCAGTGGTAATGATATCAGCTCAAAGTCACAAGAGAGTTCAGACTTGGAAACTCCATCAGACATGAAAGATACAGATATTGACAGTTGTAATTCTCTCCAGCTATCAGATGACGTGCCTGTTAATCTAAAGGCCAAAAAGAATAGCAGAAATGCAAGAAATCATGGAAACATTCGCAGACCAACTGGAAACACGTCTGAGCCAAGGGGTAAGAGCAAGGATAGTAAAAGTGGCACCAATCTCATGGTAGCCAAAGGACAAAAAGAAGTCCAGGATTCATCTGAGTCCGTTTTAGAGAGTCAAGTGTCACTGCAATCCTCAAACAATTCCCTGCAGGCACTATCTGCCAAGCTCAAAAAACGAATTCAGATACTCCTTGACCAGGGTACAATGAAGAAAGTGCAGGATTACAACAAGCTGCAGGACTATATTGAATTCATTGGCATACCGTCAACTAATGAGGAAGAGTGTCGTCTGAAACATGGTGTTGCTGGGGTCATCACCAGGATGTTTGGGGAAATTGAAGCAGATGACACGGACGCTTCAAACACATTCAATTCTGAGACGTCTGAGACACCAACAACTGACTCTCATGCCAGTGAAAATGTAACCCAGAGTCATAGCAATATGGACTTTCCTCCAGTTGAAGGTAACTATTGATTGTTATTTTTTCTTTCCAAGAATATTTATTGAGATATGAGTTATAAGTATCAAATGAATGACTTGTTATTTTAATTGTTGTTATTTTTAGTATTTTATTGTTATTGATATTATTATTATCTTATTTTTATTAGTTATAATTATTAGTTTTATTATTTTGTATTGTTGTTATTATTTATTTCTTATTTTTTATAATTAATTATATCAATGCAGCTATATAGAAGATTAAGTTCAGGATATCTTCTATATTTGAGAGGCCTTCGTTGCACTTTCAGTCCTGCTAGAAAATGGGCGAAACCTTCTTTCACTGTTTTTTCCTTAACCATTTTGCCTTCCTCCTACCTCTGGCAATTTGATTATAACAACCTTGTTTTGAAAGGAGATAGTCTGCCGTCCGAAGAACCAGGCTCTTCTCTGTGCAAATCTACGAGTGAAAAGGACGAAGGCCAAGAGCGATCAGTCACTCCAGGGGGAACGATTACCCTCAAGGCTTACCGTCCTCCGTCTGCATCACGCACTTATTTCATGGCAGTTTCAAGAGGTACCTGTATGGTCAATTGTAGTATTAATCTTAAGCTTTTATCTGGTGTGGGGTCAGCGTTGTGCTGGGAATTATTCCAGTGAAGGGTATGTCCAATTATCATCATCATAAATATTGCTATTCTGATTTTTTGTTAGTGTTATTAATATTATTATTATTGTTGTTGTTGTTGTTATATTATTATTGTTGTTGTTGTTGTTATATTATTATTGTTGTTGTTGTTGTTATTGTTGGTGTTATTGTTATTATTACAATAATTATTATTGTCATTTCCTACCAACTGCTTTTTATATTGGACTATCAAAGGTCTGACTGAGTCATTGTGGCATTGTTCATGTTTGTTAGTGCTGTATTATTAGTAGTATTAGTAGTAGTATTACTAACCTTGTTATTATTATTAGTTGTTGTATTTGTGTTTTAACTAGTATCATTATTGATAATATTATTATTATAGTTATTATTATTGTTATTATTATTGTTATTATTATTGTGATTATTATTGTTATTATTATTATTATGATTGTCATCATCATTGCTATTATCATTGTGATTATTATTATCATTATTTTTATTGTTATTGTTTTTTTGTGTTTTTTTCTTTTGTTATGATTACAGTATTATTTGTATTATTTTTCTCTTTATTGTTTTTGTTATTTTAGAGCTACAACTCTTAATATTTCTACAACTGCTATTACTACTTTGTTTTCATCAATGAGTGTATGTCCTCTGCAGCCATGGTACTCTGACTGTTTATTACTATTATTACTAATATCATTCTTATCAATGTTGTCATTAGTCTCAGAATTATCAATATTGAACTTTTTATAATGAAATTCAGATTGCGATGAGGGGCTTGTTGAAGGAGAACGCACAGTGACGCCAGAGAGTGGCCCTCCGTCTTCACTAGCAATTGCACAGGGGCTGGACTTCCACCGAGGTCAGGCAGAGGGCCAAAGGGAGGACACAGAAAGCGGAATTCCATCTTTGTCCCCTAGGTCATGGCAGCAGATAGACAGGAGTTATCCCGGCACGGTGGATGGGTTTAGGAAAGGTTAGTTTCTCGTTTGTGTGGTCAGATTGGGAGATTGATGGTGCGAAGGGTGTCAATGATCGAGAATATATTTCATTGATATTTCTTCAAGCATTTTTAGTGTAATGGGAAAGATATTTTTTCTGCCAGATAGGTCTTATGTTTATGTAGGTAATAAGACTGCAGGTTGAGATGCCGTTGATGTCATGTTGCACTTGTCAGAATTGAAATACAAGTGGAATTCAGTTTTCTCAAATTTCAGATTGATTGTCTTATCTCTTTCTAGATGGTACATCAACTCCTAATGTCCAGGACAGAGGAATAATTGGACATGAAATTGTAAATGAAAATGAAAATGAAGAAGACTCCAGGTCATTTTCTGAAAGTGTGACTTTGCCACCTGATTGGGGACTTGGATTGAGGAGAAGCCAAGCTATGTCTTCAGGTGCCGTTACTTCCGATGAGTGTTCACCTCGTCACGTTGGTCGTTGGTCTGTTTTGGACAGGAGGTCCAGTTGGCACGAGGAAGATATGAATGGAAGATTTAGAAACACAGATGATTGGAAAACTGCTACCACACGCTCTGAGCGGCTTTACAAAGATAGACGAGGCACCCTTCATGTTGCCAATCAGCCCCCTGGGTACATGGACGACAGAGACAGCCACCCAAGTGAGTCAACATCTGAACACGAACATCACCAGCGCCGTAGCAATGACACCGAGTCCCATGATGATGGAAGGAGAGGTGCAGCCAGGCCCTGGACTAGCTCAGGTTCAGAAAGCGCTTATGAGACAATACGCGAGAGGCACAGACACGTTGATGAGGCATTGGCCTCAAGCTTTGAATTTTATTCTACCTCACCGAGGGATGCTAGACTGCTAGGTTACATGTCGAGTGATGCAGCTAAAGATGAGGTAACACACTGTATGTACTATATTTGCCATGATTTGAATAACTTGACTTTATCCAATAAAACAAAACCAAGCCATATTCCGACTGCCTTTATCACTAAAAGAAACATAATTTTGGGCTTTCTGTCCTTCCTCAGGAGGCAGATGAGGCAGAGGAACTAGTGCAGGATGAGTCTCAGGCAGACCAGATGTTGAGTGCTGCTTCAAGTGAGCAGCTGTCAACAGGAAGACCAGTTCACACAAAGAAGAAGGTTTTACGACAGCAGCACACAGAAGAGCAGAATTCCACACCTTCCAGTCATACAGGTGTGGAATCAGATGAGGACTTTTTTTTTCCTTTTTGTTTTTAGACCTATGCATTTTGAGCATTTCCAAAGTTTAGGGTTAAAAGAAGTTTGTTTTTTCACTTTAAATCCCACTTCGAAGAACTTAGATTTGTCTCTGTAAAGAGTATAAACAAGAAAAAGAAGAGAATTTGATAAATCTTGGTTTCTCTTTATATGTAATCTGCCGCAATTTCTGCAACTGAAGCCTGGTAGCCACTGCAATATATTAGTATTTCTTTCTTTTGCTAGAGGTATGAATTCTTAGAAGGATAGTCACACTGAAGTAAGAAGAAATGGAAATGCTGAATTTGATTTTCAGGTTTATAATAGAAAGCTGTCTTTAGAAGTGAAAGCTTCTATTGAGGACTTTTTTATAACCAAGATTTATAGCTGACATTGAATTTCATCTTTACAGATGCAAATGACGTGAGCAGTCAAGTGTCGTTCATCCAGTTACAAAAGCAGAAGTATGTGAAGAGGATACAGCGCCATATTCATACCTTAGAGAAACTGGAGAGGTAGCATTGCAGTCCATTATTACGTATTCTCTCTCTCTCTCTCTCTCTCTCTCTCTCTCTCTCTCTCTCTCTCTCTCTCTCTCTCTCTCTCTCTCTCTCTCTCTCTCTCTCTCTCTCTCTCTCTCTCTCTCTCTCTTCTCTCTCTCTCTTTCTCTCTTTCTCTCTTTCTCTCTCTCTTTCTCTCTCTCTTTCTCTCTCTCTTCTCTCTTTCTCTCTTTTTTCTCTCTTTTTCTCTCTTTTTCTCTCTCTTTTTCTCTCTCTTTTTCTCTCTCTTTTCTCTCTCTCTCTCTTCTTTTCTCTCTCTTTCTCTCTCTTTCTCTCTCTTTCCTCTCTCTCTTCTCTCTCTTTCTCTCTCTCTCTCTCTCTCTCTCTCTCTCTCTCTCTCTCTCTCTCTCTCTCTCTCTCTCTCTCTCTCTCTCTCTCTCTCTCTCTCTCTCTCTCTCTCTCTCTCTCTCTCTCTCTCTCCTCTCTCTCTCTCTCACTCTCTCTCTCTCTCTCCTCTCTCTCTCTCTTCTCTCTCTCTCCTCTCTCTCTCTCTCTCTCTCTTCTCTCTCTCTCTCTCTCTCTCTCTCTCTCTCTCTCTCTCTCTCTCTCTCTCTCTCTCTCTCTCTCTCTCTCTCTCTCTCTCTCTCTCCTCTCTCCTCTTTCTCACTCTCTCTCTTTCTCTCTCTCTCTCTCACTCTCTCTCTCTCACTCTCTCTCTCACTCTCTTCTCTCTCTCTCTCCTCTCTCTCTCTCTCACTCTCACTCTCTCACTTCTCTCTCTCTCTCTCTCTCTCTCTTCTCTCTTCTCTCTTCACTCTCTCTCTCTCTCTCTCTCTCTCTCTCTCTCTCTCTCTCTCTCTCTCTCTCTCTCTCTCTCTCTCTCTCTCTCTCTCTCTCTCTCTCTCTCTCTCTCTCTCTCTCTCTCTCTCATATCAGATGTAGTAAGAATCAAAATATAAACATTACATTATGAGATTTTCTAATTAAACCTTATTGGTATGTGAATTTCATCTGAGACATCTTTTATTTCAGGGCTCTGATGGAACAGCTGGGGGACAGCATAGGCTCAGAGAAGAGTTTCAGGAGATGTGTGACTGAAGGCCGCTCACAAACAGAGTCGGATACAAATGTCAGGTCTCAGACACGTGACATCCTTGGACAGTCAGGTAAGCGAGGGGGTTCCATAAGCAAGTGTCAAGCTAGTTACTTAATTATTTGGTTTTTAGATGTGTAAATTAGGGCATACTGATATTTGGTGTAAACATGAGAGTTATCATTATGAATGAAAAATGTGGAGAGGACTTCATATAACTTACAGCCTTTTTTTACAATATGTTTTTAACAGGGAAGCAATGACAGTGAAAATATAATATAATCCCCTTTGGATGTATATTCCACTCTTATAAATGATATATAAGATTATTTTTAATAATCTGCACAAGCCAGGTAAAGAAAAGTGTAAATGGGAAGAAAATTTGGTTGGAAATGTATTGAAAATCTTTGATATTTTAAGTTCTCATTAACCAAAATAGCTTCTTGCCTTGCTTTTTACTTCAAGTAATTAGGGTTGAGTAGATTTTGATAATGTTTAAACAGTAGGCATTGATATTCCTTGAGGATTTTCTATCTTATGAGCCCTTATTTAGTTTTTGAGCTGACAGAGGATGATATAACTAATATATTTTTGTATACTTTATTTTTTATGATATGATACGAGATTGTATGTTCTGGAGGGACATAAATCTAGCCATTCCCAATATGAAATATGTGATATTTCCATTTTTAAATAGTTTACATTAAAGGGATTCGTTACAGTTTAAATTTATATCTGTTTGTAGAAAAATTGAAGTAGTTATGTATGTGAATGATGAGGAAATTTTTCAAGGGACAATTTGGTTATTTACTTCTTTTTCCTTCCTACAGAAACTGCAACAAGTAGCATCATATCGAGTGACTATAGCGATGAGGTGATGGAGAAGTGTAACCGCCTAAAACAAAGCATGAAGGCAAATTCATCCCACAGCAGGAGTAGTGAAAGTCAAGCAGGACAAGAGAGTCGGTCACAATCATCGGGAAAAAAATCTGAGAGTGCCAAGTCGGCCACGGGCTTCAACAGCCTGGGTCAGTCTTACATGTCTTCACCTCGGGTTGCGCAAAGCCAGATGGGCTCTGACTTGGCAAGTTCTCGAGCCTCAACACTGAAACGCATTGAGAAAGAAGTGAAAAAGCTTGCCATTACGGAGGAGAAGTCCCGCCAGGCATTGCATAAAGGGAAGAGGAAGCCTTCAACAAAGTTGAGCTTGAGGGAAGACACCCATCTACAGAATGCCATGAGGAAAATGCAAAGGGAAGAACCAAGGGGAGAAGAAGGGCCAAAGAAATCTCAAGTCAAGAGTGCTAGGGAGATTTCAGACGATAATCTGTCCATTCAAGCCATAAGGGGTGGCGGTAGCACTCCAGATGATGGTAGACATCTTGCAGATAAAAGGTCCAAGATTCAGAAAGGGAAAACAGAAGTAACATCAGAT